TCCACAACTTTATTTACTACCCACTGTTCGTTTGTTGCCTAACGACACGTCTGCGCGGACGACTCCTCAGTCTCTCTCTCTCTCTCTCCTTTTTTCCATATTTCTTCAATTATAGTGAAAGCACACGGTCCCGTTTCCTACATGTTTGGTTCTTTTTTTTTGTTTTTGTTTTGTTTTTTTTTAGTTGTTGGGTTTTTGGTTATTTATTTATTTATGGATATATATGCGTACGTGTGTGGGTGTATGCGTTGTCTTGGCACGCCCATTATTACGGCACTTGGGCCCGTGGCACTCGGCGCATGTGGGACCGTGCGGCTTAATACTGCCTACCGGGGTGCCTGGGTGCAGAGAACAACCACAAGAAGGTTGCGCGCAGCAGAAAAGGGAAACGGCAAAGAAGAAAGGTAAACAACCAACAACAACAGCAGCAGCAGCAATAGCCACAGGTGACATTCAGGAGACTTTCTCTCCAGCGTCTGCTCTTGTCCCTCCAACTGCGTTTATTTCATCCTTCTCTGACAGGATCCCGCTCCGTTCCCTTGCTGCCTCTGCTACTGGGTGCTCCTCTGCTGCCTTTTTATCCCCGCCTTATTTTGCTTTCCCCTTCGTCTCACTTACTCCTTTTGTAGGCAGCCTACATATGCGCAAGTTGGGCCCGCGTGGACTCGCTCAGCACGTCCCCGTTGGCCGCCTGGAGGCGCAGAAGAATTGCCTTCGCCTGCGTCTCGTCTCCCTTCAGCAGCGGGTGCCGCTGCACGACCCACATCATCACACGCTCGTGCACTCGGCACGCCTCCGTCTTGTCACCGCCAGCAGGGAGGGAATTCACAACACGGGCAAGCATCTGCGTCTGCTCATGTTCCGGCAGAAGCTGGTAGTACAGTGAGAGGAGCGTCACCGCCGTGCTAATGACGTTGCAAGTGGCATCCTCGTACTCCTCCTTGCGTTGAACGGCCAGGTAACGAACGATGATCCCGTGAACCTGCTGAACGAACTGCTGAGTGGCAGGATATTCGTGATGCTCAAAGTACTGCAGTAAAAGGTTCATTAGATAGAAGGCGGATTGCAGCACATCGGCGTCCCCATGTCGCTGAGCAAAGTTGATGACACTCCCAACAATCGTAGGAACTAAACTAGCCACGTGGTCTGGGGCGTGTTCGACTAAACTGCACAGCAGCGCGAGACCGCGTGCCACCATGACATCCTTTTCGTTCCCTTCCAACATTCGCTGCAGAACGGGGATGAACGTGGTATTAAAAACAGGGGCAAAAACGGCACTAGCACGCTCAAGCATCTTGTCAAGGAGGTCACAGGTATCGCGGATGAGGGCGTCCGCCTCCTCCTCCTCCTGTTTTAGTTTGTCCAGCTCGTCATCGTCGTTCTCGTCCAACTGGGACTGCAGGCTCTCCGTACGGCTTTCCATCGCGCGTTGCAAGACCCCAAGAATTTTCTCGCTAATGGAGTTTACCGTCTCTGGTGACACAAGCGTGGGTGCATCATCAATACAGCGGCTAATCACCACTGACATTGCGCTAGACGCCTCCAAGTCATCCTCCTCCGCAAACTGATTTAATAGCGGGGGCATCACGCTAACAGCTACTTGGGCCCGCCCTGTCGAATCGTAGGCATCCATCACGCCATCTAAAATCAACGCACCGCTCTCGCGAATAGAAGAGTCTGATTGAAAACTGATCAGCTTAACGGCGGACTCCATAATTTGCGGCAAGTGCGGCCCCAAGTTTTTGCCAACGTATGACAGCATGGCACTGACAACGCTGGCCGCAAGGTCCTTTTCCTCAATGAGCCCCGTGTGCAACTTGATCCTCCTGACACCCACACCAGGAACCACAACTCGCATGGTTGTCACCTTTCCATCTTCATCCTCGTCATCGTCATCGTCATCGCCAACCTCTGCATTCTCCACCTCAGTGTCACACTCCACATTCATCATGGAGATAAGCACAGGCATTACTATGTCCAAATAGGGTGTTACTTCTTCCCTGAGGCAATCTGTCATGCATGTCCATCCCCGAAGCACGTAGCGCAGACGCATGTCGTCGTCCTTCGATCCCCTTGCCAGGTGATTCAGCAGATCGCGCAGGTAGTTGCACATATCATGGGCGTAAGGCGCAAAAACTTCTCTGCCCACCCCACAGGCCAAAAGCGTCGTGCATTCGATGGCCTTGCACTTCATCATGACGGTCTCTGGGATCTCCGGCATTGCCAAAATTTCCTGAAACACAGGGACAAGGTGGCTGGTGTACGGCTTTAGTAGGCCTTTACAGGTTGAGATGACGGAAGAGAGGGCGCCAAGGCAATCATCGCGAACAAATCCGTGCGATGTCTGCTTCAGAAGAGTCACAAGGGAAACGCACAGGCCCTCAATGTAACTCTCAAAAAGCTTGATGAAGAGGGTGTCATCCTCGCTTTCACTCTCCTCACATTGGTCAAAGAAGGAATCCAGGCAGCGGGCAGCACGCGTTGCAACGGCTGGCACACTGTCACTGAGGCACCGCATGACGGCTGGAACAATTGCATGGGACAACTGTTCCTGCATTTTTGGTGCAAAATCGCTGGACATCTGCGTGAGGCAATCCAAGGCGCTGGCGCGAACGTACTTCACCTCATCCTGAACAGCAGGGATGACCATCTGAACGATTTGTTCAAGATGTTTCTCAAGAACTGTCGCCATACCCTCCGCGAGGTACGTAATAAGAAGCAGCGCCGCATTACGCCTCTTCCAATCGGGAGAGTGGATGTTTTCCATGAAGAGCCGTTGAGCCAAGGCGTCCAGCTTTCTCCCACCAAGGGCTGACGCCAGCCGATCAATCCCACTGCTCCCAACAGTATCATCCTTGTCATCCTCAAGGTCCTCACCGTCAAGGTTGATGCCCTTTTCGTCCCAGTCATCCGGCATCTCGGGGTTGAGTGTGTACTCAAACAGGAGCTGCAGAAAGGAGGCGGAGAAGTGGGGCACCTTGCGCACCGTCCTTGGCTCACTCTCGCAATAGGTCAATAAAGCCTCAATGGCCATGTGACGTGCACCCGCCCCTACTGACGGTGTCGAGGCCACTTCCATCAAGCCCTGAAGAAGCGCGGAGGTGTGGCCCGCAAAAAGCCCGGCGGCGTTTGCGACACCATCTGCGAGTTTACCGGTCAACTTCTCCGCGTCATCCCAGTTGGACGCGTTGAGGGAGTCCTGTACAACTTGCAGCATCAAGGGAACCAATTCGGCCAACTCAGGCATGGGGCGGCACATGGCAACATTGACAAGAGCATCAAATGCGCTTTTTCTCGCCTCCACAAAGGGATCTGTCAGACAATTTCTGATTCCAGTCACCAGTTTGGTGGTGTGGGCCTCAAAGTAGCTCGCCATGGAAGGACCTGTCGCAGCAATGATCTCAGAGCAGATTGTCTTCAGCTGATGAGCAGATTCTGCGTTCTCGAGGATCTGAAACACACTCTGCCAAAGCTCATCCCATTCCTGACCTAGCCCGTGCATCTTGACGACAAGGGCACTCACGCATGCCGCGGCCAGAGCCCGCTGTGGACCGAAAGCCGCCTTCCCGAGCACCTGCAACATGAGATCTTTCACTGCCCGCTGTGTCTGTGCATCCGAGACGTCGTAGCAGTTGGACTTGCTGCTGAAGAGCTTCCTTAACAAGACCATACCCATCTGCATCGTTTGCGGGCTCTCCGTGGCCGCGCATAGCTCCGACAGGCTGCACATCATCCACACGCTGTTCCCCGTGGAAAGTGACTCATACTCCGCCTCCGCCGACTTGCGCACGGAGTTGTCTGGCGACCTCAAATTGTCAATTAGCCGTAGAAGCTGCGCCTGATCCATATCCCACCGCGTTATTTGGACGAGGGCAAAAAGAAGTCAACCAAAAGGGAATCACAAGAAGGACCCAGATCTTTCTTTCTCTCTCTCTCCTCACCCCACCCCCGCTCTCTCGATTTACCTCTTAAATTTATGTGTAGAGATTTACCTGCTGCAAAGTACCTTCGTGGCTTATAGACTTTGCACAGTTCAGGCCTTAAACCCACCCACCCCCGCTTCTCCTATTGTTTTTTATTTTAAAAAAATAGCCGCTTATCTAACAGGTGCCACATTTCACCAGAGGCATAACAACAACAACAACAAAGGCGAGGTGAAGACGTTACAAAAAAAAAAAAAGGGCAAAGAAAAAAACAGACACGAGCAGATATACTCTGCTTGTGGTTGTTTTTGGCCTTAAGTGCGTGTCAAGTATTAAAATACCACTAACCACACGCAGAAGGGCGGTCACACGATGCAATAGTTGGGAAAGGAGCTCAAAGTGTTTATTGTTCCTCCTCTCCAGAGCAAAAAAAAAAAGGCATTACTTACACAGTATTTTTTTAAAAAATGAAGGATCTATATATAGATAGATAGATATATATTAATACAATCATAGGCATCGTATGCCACAGCAGAAAACCGATCACGAAGATCCACAGATGGGTAAACACATTTTTACAATAAAATGCTCATTTCCCCGCCGCTGCACTTCGCTTTGTGTTTTCCTTTTGCTTCTATGGATTAGCCGAAAGGGCCTCTATGGCGCTCTGCAGTCCAGCAACGGGGGCGAAGGCCTCAAGAAACCCCGTGGAGAGATGTGGTGATAACTCCTTCCCAAAAGGGTCCGTGTGGAAAAGGACGATGGCACGCGGCCAGGCGTACGCCCAGCGAAGTACCGTGTCCATGAATGCATCTTCGTCAAACGGTATCCCTGCCAGAAGTGACAAACCCACCACCATCCACGACCGCCGAAGAGCGGTACTCAACACCTGAAAAGCCAAGACACTCGTTGTTGTGGCATTGCCCAAGGATACCGCCGCTGCCGCCATCGGCACCTCAGCGGTAGAACATTCACCACGTGAAGCTGTGCACCCAATTGGAGTGCTGCCGTCGCTGAGGAGTTCAATTTTACTCCACGACTGAGGCGATAGAGCCGCAGCCAGCGCCAACTCGCGGCGATCCAGCAAGACACCATCCAGCAACTCGATGTGATGAAGCACATGGTCATTTGATAGTACAACCCTCACGGCGCGAAGGTGTGGTTGCCACACCGCCACAAACGGCACAAGACTACGCAGCGTGATACATGCAAGTCTCCTCCGCGCTGCGGGCGGCATCTCACGCGGCTCGCCACACCCGGTGCCTGGCAAGGATAAAAGTACAGACCGCACTGTTCCATGCAGAACACATTTGAACCACCCCGTAGGAGGAATGATGCCACCCTCGTTGATAAAGGAGTGAAGAACGGGATGGACATCGCCGTAGTAAAAGAGGTCGCCTACAGTGAGCCAAGCCCGCAATGAAGGCAACAAAGTCTCAAAAAGACAGGAAAAATCAACAACAGAGTGCAGTACAGCTGGTTTGCACAAAGGGATCTCCTTCTCTGTGACGTTGGAGGGTACAACGGAATCCTCAGACCGTCGTTCCCGAAATGGCTGCAAACCTCCATCGTGAAGGTGCAGAGCCTCCAACAAACAATCGTTTACACGAGCTGGATGAGTCTGCATGGAAACCATTAACCATTGAGGTTTCATCTCCAACTCACGGCACGGATGCAACAAGCAGGCAAACCCATCTGCAATCCTAAACATAAGCTCCGTATTGCGTCCGCGTCGACGTTCGGCACGCGCAATTGTTACCATGAGGTTAAAGCAATCATCTAAAGATGATGCCGGGGCCTGTGCTTCACCACCATACAATACAAAAAGCATCTGTAGAGTACAGGACTGAGAAAGCGAAGCAAAGACTTCATCGATTGTACGTGCAATTGTCACTGTAAACGTTTTTGCATTTGTCGTTAATTCTCGCAATGCACTCTGAAGACTCCAGTGACTCACTGCATCCCAAGCGTAACGCGCCTGTTTAGTCTCTCGTGATGCAGAGACTCCATGGAATTGGCTACAGCGCGCATCAGCATCAACCCCTCGTATTTCTTGCTGGCCAGGTAATTCAGGCTGCGCAACATCAAATGGGGCGTCTGTGTCCTCTCTTAGGGAGCGCATGACATTTTTGTCCTGAAGAAGCTGTCGCTTAATGCTCCACGCAATCAACGCTTTCGACACATGTTTCCTACCAAGTACAGTTTCAACAGAATCTACCCTTGACGCGGCACAGTCACCTTCGCCGCCCTCAACAAGACCGGGTTCTGCTCGACCTTCCTCACGAACCTTTTTGCACGCCGTAGGTTCCAATGCATGCATCAAAGGAAAATTGTTCGCCAAGGAGCGTAATACCCTGTCGCCTGATTCACCGCAAACAGAGGCCTTCATTGCTTTGTTAGCTTCTTGCTCTATGGACACTGTTGTAGACGACCCAAGAGCCCTACTGCTTTTAAGGGGATGCATTCCCCTCTCTCCCGCACTTTCTGCTTCCGCTTGTGCGACAAAATCTACTTTCAGTGGTACTATGCGTTCAAACTGAGTTTGTAGTTTATGAGAATCCTCAACACTTTCATCACCCCCCAGGGCAGCCTCAACGGGAGAAATGGGAGGTGTGGAACATACCAATGGAGACCCCCTCACTTTCACCGGGTTCCTCATCACAGGTGGTGTTGCAACGTGACCAGAATGAGATCCCCCTGCGCTTTCTATTGCACCCACCCTCTGCGGATACGTTACTAGATTAGTGTTGCCCACTTCATCCTCCTCCTCCTCCTCCTCGTTTGCCAAGGAAATCATGGGCTCCTTAGTAATACGACGTTCCGTCCAAGTATCCGCAAAGGCCAATTCTATTGCACTCGCACGCAAAACTTTTGTTTTAATTACATCTCTGGGAAATATTGTCAATTTTATAAACGGTCCCACTAAAGAACCTGGAATCACGGCGCGAGTTAGCGTTCCTTTTACATCCTTCACACAGAGGACGCCAACGTAACCTGTGCGTGGGTGATTAGAGCACGATACGACAAGACGCTCAATCGGCGTCTCTGGTTCCCCCGAATCATCTGCAATAGCTTCAAACAAAACAGATAACGCAATATCTCTTATACGCTCGATACGAACACCTGTTGAATTCTTCGTGGGTTCGATATGCGAGACAAGTTCTCTGCGCAAATAGTTCTTGGGAAGAGAGCTCAACACAAAAAAAGGATGTGGGGTTTGGTAAAGGTTGGTTGTCCAAACCTTGTCCTCTTGGTGTTTGCCTTTGGTAGTAGCATTAATAAAAACCGCAGAAGCACCAAGGCCACTGGCCTCAATAACTCTAGAAAGAACCGGCTCAGGTGATGGATCAAATCGTATGAGAGGCTTACGACGTGTGCGGTGCTGTTGGTGCAGCTTTTCATGTTGTTGTTTGGTCCGCCTTGGAGAAACCAACAGTTCCTGTGTGCCTCGGTTATTCTCAATAGTATTCTTCTGATTGGTCGTTATCCCCTCTTTTGGTTCTCCTTTGTCATCATTGCTGGGGAAAGCGCCTCTAGCAGCCCTATTATGAGACTGAAATGAAGTACGTTTCCTTGTTTTAATTTTCGAAACTAACGGAAAACCATGGTGAGAAGCAGGTGCTCCCACTAACGTCTCCAGTACCCGTGAAACCGCATCCAAGTCAAGTTCCATAAACAACTCTTTTTCACTACGATGCAAAGCAGAAAAAAAAAGACAAAAAAGTGTTACGGAAAATGCTTTAGAAGACAGATGCAATGCACCTTTTTATTTGGTCTAGTTTCTTCACTTGTGTGTGTGTTTTCTTTATATATTCGCAGTGGGACTCAGATACATAAGGCATAAGAAGACATACATACTTACATCTCAACTTTAGAGTAAATGTAGACAGTTTCCTCGTTTTCCCCACCTCCAACGTTTAACAAATATGCGTCCAAAGAATGACCAAAGGATTTGCAACACAAAACAAGAAGCCTTCATACCCTAAGAATCGGCAGCTTTTCTGGCCTCCTTTTGCTTCCTTATCACCTCATTGTTGACCAATACATAAGGATGGTTGCGAAGATTCGTACTATGATACGTATTGTTGCGAAGAAGGTACTGCGCTAGCCAGGTCACTGGATTAGTATTTCCTGTTGTCTGGTATCGGTCGGGAAACGCACACGGTTGAGAAAGTCGCCGCTGCTCACGCCTCACTAAATCATAGAGCGCCGGAATAAGAGTAGGAAAAAGGGTTTCGCGCAAATAGGTGATATTTTCGTTTTCTAAGGGAATTTTAACTGATGGCTCAATGCCTTCATAGCCGCACCAAATTTGTTCCTCCACCAGGCGGACCATCATCTCCTCACTCGGATACAACACATTTTCAGGGTTCTCCATTGTGAGAAAAAAAAACTCGCAACTAACTGTTAACCTTCTTTATACTCGTAAAAGCAGTAGCTGAAAACAAAATATGTTGAAAAAAAAATATTTCTAAAAGACACCATAATATACATTCCCACCCCAAAAATTCAGTTTACATCACCAAAAGCAGCTTCCATCCACCAAGAAAATAACGGGCCCAATAAAGGCACATAATTTACCCACGATAAAAAAAAAAAGTGGGCTTTGTCGTTGTTATTTTTGTTTCTTTCTTTTCATAATAGCCAAGCATCTCGTAAACGGCATCACGGTAATTTATTTTTGTGAATCCAAAGCAAGCAAAAATAAAATCAAAATCAAAATAACGCCAAATAAATAAAGCATGTAAGACAAGTGGCAAAAAAAAAGTAAACAAATGAGAGAAACACTTGAAAAATGTCCTCACAATTCGATCAACTAACAAGAAGACATTGTACGGCCCATAATCAAAACGGCAAACACAAACAAAAGATCCTATCCGGCAAATATGTTGGAGTAACGACGGCAACCAAAGCCAATATTTTCCAATACAGTCATGCAGAATAGCGTGGGCAAAGACAATTTCTAATTCATAGCCACCCAATGTGCAACATGTATTGGGCAAAAGCATCCTTCAATAAGCGCCACATCATCAAGACCCTATTGACTCCTAAATACAACTTTTAATGAAACCCCTCCGCCCTGCCCCTCAAAAAAAAAAAAATCAAAAAAAAATGAACTATTATTACTATTATTATTAATTGTCGTTGGGCCTAGCATTCATTTGAATGTCCTCAACTTGCAGAACAAAATTCATATATATATATAACAAAAAGGAATTGATAATGGCTAACTCTTTTCAATTCCTAGAAACAATACTACTTCAGAAATCACACGACCATATTTCTAAGCAATGTAATGATTTCAAAAACAAAATCATAGTCACTGTGCTCAGAAGCAGTCACTAAATAATGAACGATATACACTGATGTATGCTATGCTTCCGCTTTCTGTAAATAAAATTTTTTCTCTTTTCGGTCTGTAGTAAAGATGTAAAATCACTGCACAAGGAACCATAACTAGCGAAAGAAATCCCACATAGCACGAAAAGCATCTTATATAATGTCCGTTTCCTTGGCCTTCATCACCAATTGGTGGTGGCAGTTGATCAAAAAATTGAACAAAAATCTCATGTTGAATTCCAAAAGAGAAAAGTGCTTGCCTTGTGGCCAACAGCCAGGAAGAATTATTCCGCAAATTGAGCAACGCCAAAGAATATTGTTCTTTATTCGTATGGCTTGCATAAACAGCAAAGTGAATAATTATAACATTTCGGGTAGAGCCATTTTTCACGTCATAAACTTCAGCAGTCTGATCAAAAAAATCATAAAGATCGCTCCAAATAGCTTTTATCAGTGTCTCTTTCTCCAAAAGGGCCTTGCTACTAAAGTTGCCGCTAAGAACAAGAGCATAGAGGAGTTGTTCACTTGTCATCCAAGCATCCAAGTAAAAAGTCAGTTTTTCTCTCTGGTTTCGTAATGCTGCAGAATCGTTCAGATGTGGAAAGGCAAGATCTCCAGAGTGCCCGCAGCCTTCACACTGTGCAATAATAGCCTGATAATTAGGTCCCAAAGTTTTCGTGACTCCGCACACCTTCCATGGATCATCTGACCCTTGTAATGCAACCATATTTGAGACTCTTGGTTTTTTACCCCCCCATTTGAAATTGAAGTAAAAGACATCTGGGAAAACAGAATCTCCGAAGGCCAAACGACATTGTGTAACAAAGTAATCAGTATTTACGGTGGGGAGTCGAAGACTATTATAATACCCCACCTGAAAATATGCAAGTTCACTACAGGTCTGATAAATCCATGCATAGCCTGTGGAAGCCCATTTATTTGACATTGAAGTGTTCGATAAGCATTCTGTACTGTAGAAACATTCGGAGGTAAATGATGATCCATACATATGATGAATCATATTGAAAAATTGCCCCAGACTGTCTGTTTTATTTTGTGGTATAAGCATTTCACACATGTCCCACTTTTTCCCATACTGAACCGCAGCTGCCACGGCGTCAGCAAGCATGTACGATATCCCAGGTTTATCAAAATAATGTGGAATATGAAATCGATCCAAAAATTGCAAACGAGCAGACTCATCCTCCCACAGCTCTGAGAACAAAGACTGTGCAGTCCGAACTGCGCGAGCGCATTCAAGTGAAAGTTCAGATTTGACATGATTATCGAAGGCATAAAAATTGAACTGAGTTTCAACAGCCCCACTACTGCTCCAAACCGCCAAGGCAGCTGTAGGATATTTCACCTTAAACCACACGCTTAGGGCACCAGCATAGCCTCCACCAACAATAAGCCAACGAAACTTTTTCCCAATCAATTTATTCTCAACAAAACGCTGAAAGGAACGCAAATCATCCAATGCAATATCAACACTGAGATACCTTTTAATTTTTCCTGTGTCCGTTAAGGGAGCCGGTAAACTTTCGCCATAGTATCGGTTTTCCAGGGCAAAAAGCAGCATATTTCGCTTGTGTCCATAGACTCCGGGATACCCACTAGGAGATGAAACTCCTGCTCTTTCCCCCACGATATAAAGCATGGCCAAGTCACCCCCCTTCCATGCAGAATAATCCACCCAGTAACGCTCATCAAACGTAGGCCCTCCAGAGAATGAATGGTTCACAAGTTGGCGAAATACCGCGGGAGTTGTGTTGACATACTCCCCGCCTTCAAAAGACCCTGCTTCGCTTCGGCCAGAGAGCGAACGAAAAAGCCCCCCACGAGAAAACCGCTCCGGGAACACGCCCGGTGGCGACAAACTGTGCGCCCCGCAAAAGGACAATACGCAAGCAAAAACGAACAGCCACATCGCGCCGCAGGTGTCTTCCCCACCCCTTTTTTCCTGACTATTACTATTCCTCGAGCTCCCCCCCCCCCCTTTCCTTTGAGGAGGTGCGCCCCGCCTACCTAGATCCCGTAAAAAAAAACCTCGAAAACAACAGCAGCTAGGCAAACAACCGAACAGCCCGGGCTACGGCCGGCGCCGCCCCTCGCCCTTGCGGACCCGCCCCTCGCCCTTGCGGACCCGCCCCTCGCCCTTGCAGACCCGCCCCTCGCCCTTGCGGACCCGCCCCTCGCCTTTGCGGACCCGCCAGCCTCTTGAAGCCGCCCCGCCCCTGCGCGCATCGCGCCGGCGGGCCGCCCGCGCCCCCTTGCCTTTCCGTCGGCCACTAAAGAAGGAGGGAAATAACAAAGAAAAAGGAGGAGGAGGCGCGTTGTGGGGTGCGGTGCGGTCGTCGCTACTAGGCAAGCCGGCACGCTGCGTCCGGCGGGGGTTGGCATGGGGCTGAGAGGGCGCCCGAACAGCTTTTAGCACGGCGCATGCACGTTAAAGGGGGGGGGGGGGCTCCTCCGCCCCGCTTAATTCCACTCCCCGCGATCACATCCATTTGTTTCGTTGCTTCTCTCTCAACATCCGGGCCAGGTCCTGAAACCTGGCGGCCTCCTCAGCGAGCTCGCGGGACCGGTTCGCTATCTCGGCGACCCGCTCCCCCCGCTCGCGGAGCTTCGCCTGGTTCTCGCCCATGAGCCGCCTCGCCTCGTTGAGCGTGACGTTTTCGCGCTCCGCAGTGGACTTTATCTCAGCATATCGGCTCCCCTGCTGCCGCCCGTGCGCTGCTTTGAGCTGCGGAGCCTCTCCGGGGCCGGCGGCGGGCGCCAGACGCCGGCGAAGCTCCTCAAACGACTCCTGCCGCTCTGCGCGCAGCAGCCCCTCTACTTTCAGGGCCTCCTCTTCCCACGGCAGTGCCAAGAGGCGTTTCAAAAACCCCCCCTCTTGCTTCGTTGTGGGCGGCGGCGGCAGGAATCGCTGGTACGCCTGGAAACTTGAGGGTGCGGCTGAGCAAGGCAGCCCCGCGAAAAACGCCCCAGCGCTGGGCCCCATTGCCCCACCCTCGCCGTCGGCGGCAGCGAAAACGAGGTGGCCCAGCGCCCCACCTCGGCCAACCACGTAAACGTGGAGGTTTCCCCCCTCGACCGGTAAAGGGTAGATGCGGAGGCGCTCCTCCTGCGTGAAGTGAACCATTGCCTTGGACTCTGCCAGCGGCTGGGCCGTCTCCAAATCTAGCATACGGACCCGGCGCCACCTGTTGGCGTCCCTCGTCAGCACAAGCAACGCACCAGCGAACTCGCAAGCAACCACATGTTCAACGGCACAGCCGGGTTCGAATGAGCACAACGGTTCGAGGGGCTTCGCTGCTCCATTTGCCGCCAGGCGCGCAGCAGCAAGGACGTCCACCTTCCCTTCGGCGCATAGTATGACGCTCGCCTCCCCACGTTGACTCCGCCTGCTGCTGCGAGGTGCGGGAACCGTCGCCGCCACCTCTTCCTCATTTCTTTCAGGTCCTTCACGCAGATGCCACTCGAGGGGGCCAAACATCCAGGACGGCCCTTCCTCTACCATAGCGATGCGAGCAGACGGCATGAGCGTTTCTCCAACAGAATGGTTCACCTCCCCTGCGAGCACCACGTGGCCCCCGACAACCTGCGCGCAGAAGCGCAATGTCGCAGATTTACCCGAGGGAATCGAATACCACTCCGCCTCGTCATCATCCTTTTTCACAGCCCACGCATCCGCCTTTTCAGGAGCATAGCGAATACGCACTGGGAGCAACAACCGGCCAAAAACGTCGAGTAGATAGATAACTCCCTCGCTTCCGTGTGGCGCTGCCTTCGCGGCGCCGGCGGTGGGCTTCAGAACAACTTCACATAGTAAATCCGCGCCCAACACAGGAAAGTCGTTCGTCCGGGAACACGCAATAACGGCATTGTATCGCCACCCCTCGCCCCCAGCGCTTGGGAAGTACGACAAAAGTCGCATGCAGCTCATGTCCCACACGATCACACCCTTCTGGTCGGACAGAACACAGACAAGCGCCAGGCACATCCTGTTGGTTGCCTCCACTTTTACACAAGCAGACGGGCCGGGACAATCCAGCCAGACAGTGTCGAATGACGCCAAGGTGCTACCAGCAGGAAAGAGCGCTGCCGGGAAGCGCACCATAAAAGGTAACCCCTCCTCCCCTGTCTGGGCGCCACTCAAGTCCACCAGCACGAAGGAGGCATCCTGCAACTGAAGAAGCACGCTGCATCCACCACGAAGCAACTGCAACCCTGACGATGCGCCTCCTGACCTTGCAATACGGCAGCTGACCAAAACTGCGGTTCGTGCCAAAGTGCCCGCGTCATTGTCATCGTCGCCGCCCTTGCCCTCAGCAGACGTTGAATCTGGCATGAGGCACTCTCTCGAAAGCTTCACAAGGGGTTCAACGAGCGTTGATGAGAGATGCACCACGGAGACAACAACGGCGTCTGCACATGCCACAACACGCAGTATCATTTCTGTGTAGTGCGGCAGCTCTGGTATGATTTGCTCGAGCAGGGTAAACGTGTTGCAACCTTTAACTGAGACGTGGCTCCCCCACGCCGTGTATTGCTCCATGACAGACGTGGGCACAGGAACGCACTCATTGGACAAAGGAAACAGGCAAACACCACCGCATGGTACATCAGGTAATGTGCCAAACGCCAAGGGAGGGCCATCCCATTTCTGCAAGTCAGACGGCTTCGCTAACCCCACCCCCCCTTGCAACACATCTCGCCAAGGATCGGAATCCTGTTGAGCGTTCCGCACCGAACACCAGAACGCGTTCAACCGTTCAAGGGATGGAGATAAAAGCAGCATTCTGACTGAAGCATTTGCCCCGCGTGGAAGTTCCTGCAACGTATCTACGCTCTCCAAATTACGTTTTGACCGGCACCGTCGTATGAGCAGCGGCCCAGAAGCGCTACTCGTCATGAGGAGTACATCCAGATCGCGTTCTGTCCACATCCCTACCCAATAGCTGGAGCGAACACACGGAATGACACGCTTCACGGCGAGAGCACCTTTGGTGCCCCGCGCTGGCATTCGCTCCAGATGGAGTGCAGCCACATGTGCCAAAATATCCTCTCTCTGGTGAAGCTGCCTTCCCTCCACATCAAGCACTAGCTCCACCAATTCCCCCACCGAGTAAAGAAGAAGATGTATATGACACTTTTTGTCAGATTGCGCTTGCGAGGAGGAGCCGGCGCTGCGCGCAATGTGTATACCGCACGGTACATTCTCACTGTCGTCCTCGTCAACGCCTTCCGTGTCACCATTGCCAGGAGAATAAGGCAAGCGGCATCCCGTCTCCAATGTCCAGAATACCTCAACCGACCTGTCCTTTGCCTTCTTTCCCCCATTAGACCAAATGAAAACGGTGGCAAGATCACTTTTCGTCGCGATGATATAGGTTCCTCCCGGGGTTACTCTGCAGGCCTGCAGAGACGTGCCCGCAGTGACGTGGGGCAAACGGTAGAAACCACTTAGGCTATTCTCATCCAGATGCCACTTGCATACCCCAGGGACCCCTGAAAGCACCGCCACAAGCGAATTTGAACTTGTCGGGTTGGAGTCTATCGAGTGGACGTGCCCACACAACAACGACGACGATGACGGCGGCGTTTGCGTTGGAAGAAAGGGACGACAAAGCGCAAGTAGATCGGTTGTCAATGCTGCCCACACCAAACTAAGCGAATCCGCTTCCTCCTTCAGCTTCCAATACATGACAGATCCCCCGCGGCAGCCCACAACCCCCCATGTCATACCTTGCGGGATGTGCAGGCAGGCAAACAGTGACTCGTTCCTGCCGCGAGGGAAAAGAGCGGAGGGGGAATGGCGCCGTGTAAAGTCAAAAAGCAGCAGACACTCTGGGGATAATAACAAAAAACTCGAGGTTCCAGCAAATATATGTGCGTCCAGCCATCGCGCCCCCTTTTGCACAGGCAGTGCCACCCGACGACGACCACGTGTCAGCACGACGACGGGCGCATTGTCCCCGACGCAGAGGAGGTTCCCCAGAATGGGGTCGAGGACGCACAGGTGGTACGCCGCGTAGTCGATCGTCTCGTCATGGCAAACAAGAGCGGGGCAGTCCGGCTTGAGCGCATCTGTGGTGCTGGAAGCAACTGGAGCCCTTGGGCGCCAAAAGCGAATCTTGCGAAGGTGCTCCATAGTAGCCTCACTGATGCGATGTGCCGGGCAATCGATGCTCCCCCCGCAGCAAATGTCGTCCTTGGAGTAGAGTCGCTAAAGCTGTGAGGGAAAAGGAGGAGGAACGCCGGACGTGAAACAAGGGCAAAAAAAAAAGCAGGAGCATGAAGCACGCATGCACCGCCACAGCAATGTGTCTCTCTTCACCCGCGCCAACTAAGACACAAACAGACAAACAAAAAAACCTGGCCCGCATAGCTTGGAAGCCACACACATCCACAAAAAGAGAGAGAGAAAAAAAGCTGAGCCAAACGTAAAGCAGAAGAGGAACTGCACCTGGCGACATGATTGCGATTCATTGTTTATTTTTATTTACGTATTTGTGTGCGAGTGCGGGTGCTGAGGTCAATGGTTTTTTTCTTTGTCACGGCGTTCCGAGAGGAGGGCCCGGCATTGCTGCAGCGCCGTAGAGGCCGCCGTGTACCGCTCCCTGAGCGACTCCATCGCCGCCTCCGCTTTCTCCAGGGACTGAGTGCTGGGGGGGGCGGCAAAGTATGTCGTGGCCAAGAGCACAAAAACAATGCACGCTAACGAAGTTACGGTGAGTCGGCGGAGGCGCGAGGATGCGGAGAACCGCAATTTCTTGGCGGACATGACAGCCTGAGAAACAAATTGCTGTCGAGCCCGCTCGGAGGGTGCCGCATACAACGTTTCGAGCGAAGTCGCCACGCCGCTGCCCATTGCAGTTTCCGCCGTCACCTGGCGCGAGGCGTGGGACCGCTCTGCGATGGAGGTACTTTCTGCCAGCGAGCGTTGAAGCATCACCGCAGAGCGCTCCGCCTCCAGCTCGCGAATGCGGGCCTCAAACTGACGCGTCTTAGCGGCCTGTTCCTCGCGGTAAAAGGCAAACCTCGCGTTCTGTGCGATCAAGTCATCTAGCTGGAACTGCAGCTGTCGTATGGATTGATCCCTTCGCTGCAGCTCCTCTGCCTCCTGTGCAGCCACCTTCGCCTCTGTAGGGCTGCACTCCCGCTCGAGAGCGGCGGCCCCAGCTGCTGTCTCCGCTGAAACAGTCACTTGTCCGGAGCGGAGGAGCTCAGCCTCGCTATGGTGCAGCTCCAGCTCACGCATGCGCTCCCGCGTGCGCGCGTGCGCCTCCTCCTCCTCGCGCAGCCGCTGCCGAAGTCCTTGTCGCTCTTCCTCCTTTGACATGAGTTCCTCCTCGCGGAGCACAATGAGGCGCTGACTCTGCACCTGCATGTGTTCCATCTCACTATTCAAAAGCTGGGCCTGCTCCAACTCCTGACGAAGCTCCTCAAGGCGATCCGCCTGCTTACGATTATCCTCCCGCACATGCTGCAAAGCCGCCCCCAACGCATGGCATGCACTTTGCTGCTCCTGAAGCAGACCTTCACGCTCCTGCAGCAGACCCTCGAAGCGTACACGCTGCTCCTCCAGTGCTTCATTGGTAGCCTTTTTGAGGCATTCCGCGTCGCCGGCCACTGCAGCATGTCTCGCCTCCATTTCCTGCTCGCGAGCCAACGCCTGCTCCCACTCCTGGCATTTACTTTCCGCGATGTGTTTTGCCTCCTGTAATTCTAACCTCAGACGTGTGATATTGTCCTCGCTCTGTCGTATTATGAGTTGGTAATCCTTTTCCCTCAGTTCATACTCCTCCGCCTTGGCCTCAATGATATTTTCTAGCTGCGCCACCTTTGAGCGCAATGTGTCCATCTCCGTCTTTAGCTCAGCCACCTTCTTCTCGGCCTCCATGTGCTCCCACTTCACCCCCTCCAGCTTGCTTTGACTGCGATCCCGTTCCGCAACAAGCTCCGCCCGCAACTGTTTCTCGCGCTGCAACGCAGCCACCAACGACGCCTGCACCTGCGGCGTCCGCTCACTTGTGGAGGCCGTGGCGTCGTCGTTTGCATTCAAGTCCCCATCAGCGCTACCGTTTGGCGCAAGTGCCTCTTCTTTTTCAGGCAATGACTCCTCCGCCACTGTTCCCCCAACCGCTGCCGCCGCGCGCGCCTCAAGAAGTTGCCGCTCCAACTCCTCGTTGCGGTGCTGCATCGCCTCCTTGAAGCGCTCGAACTGTTGGCACAACTTCTGCACATCCTCCTTCTTGGAGGCCTCCGCCACCAGACGCGCCTGCTCCGCCTCAAGCTGCCGCTTGTGCGCCTTTTCCTCCTTTTCCACAGCCTTCTGAAGCTGGGCCTGCAGGTCGGCCAGTTTGGCCTCTGTCAGCGTCGCGTACACCTCGTCCGTCTTCCCCAAGGGACCTGCGCGGCGCAACTCCTCTAACACGCGTTTGTCGTTGGCACGTTGCTGCATAGACACACGCTTTTCCCGCTCAGCGGTGCGTCTGAAGGCGTCGTACTCCAAGCGCAGCGCAGTTGCATCGGCAAACAAGTCATCGTACAAGCTCTTCTGCTCCACCAGCCGAGCCCGAAGCTGCAACAACTCTGCAGCCAGCTCTTCCCTCGTTGCGTTCCCATTGACGTCCGACGAGGTCGATAGGGCGTCTGCAGCAGGACGCTCCTCTCCGAGTTCTATGAGTCGCTGGAACAGTCTGGACATTATGATGCGTCGTGTACGGCAACAGCTGTCGCCTCCTCACTTATTCCCCTCCTTTCTTCTTACCTTATGTAGTGCGACACTGCCCACACCTCGCTCCCCCCCCCCCAACAACACACACATACACATGCAAGCAAGCAGTCAAGCAAAGGCAAACGAAGGGCAATCAACAGCAAATTCCTTAGTGGGCAATGAAGACTGTGCAAACTCACACACGTTCCGCTTAGACCTGTGATTCGCTTGCAAGTGCTAATGTGGAAATGGCTACCATGTGATCTCCTGGCGTTTCTCTCACCTTTTCCAGTCACGGCGAGAGGAGCGATGGACACAAAGAGACACAGCTAGCGGACATTAGGGAACCAGCTGTGTCAGTCAGTGGAAGCGGAAGGGCGCACAACACACCAAAGCATGCATGCATAGAGATGAGGAATTTACGAAAAAAAAAAGACATCAAAACGAGGCGACAGAATTAAAAAAAGTAAAAGTAAATAATAATAATAATAATAAATTAGGAGCGACGACATGCGTCTTCTGTAACGCAACACAGGTCCGTTGCGCAGTAACGAGAGAACAAAATGAAATAAACGAGAAACCGTCGGCAATCCCCCCGCCCACAGCTCTGTCTTTAGGCGTCCTCGTGCGCCACCACAAGAAAAGGAGCCAAGTGGCCGTAGAGCGCAGGTACAAATGCCTTGTACGACGGCAGCCTCTCCACCTCCACACCGATGAGGTGCTCGCCCTCTTCGAGGACAAAAAGGTCGTCGAAGTGCAGGACGACTGTACGCCGCCACTGCTCCTGCTCCCTGGAGCGGGCGGCTCCATGCGGGTCATCAACCACAAATGCGGCAGCCTTTTTCTTCCTCCTGCTCGATATCTTGTCAGCAGCATGGGTTGTTGTCTTCTCAAAAGTGGCTGCAACGGCGTCATTCAATAGTTTCCGCGTGGAACCACAAAGCTGTGACGCCGCAGGACGACAAAGAAACACGTTCACTGCAACATAGCCACACAGATGTGTTTCATCCAACTGTCCCTGCTGCTGATACTGATGCTCCTGCTGCTGCTCTAAAATCACTTTCATTGGAGGCATAACGCGGTGCGGGGTCACACGCTCTGCTCGTGGTTCCCACCACAGACGCAGTGTCGCCGCACGGTGTGCAGCACAAAGAGGGAGCTCTGCGTGCACCCTAGCCAGCGCGTGCGGACTGGAGAACTGAGCAAGCGCGTCTTGCAAACGTTGGTCTCGCAGTGTGCCCTGTGTGATGAGGCCCACGGTGAAGTCCGCCGGGGCATTCCGCGTTATGAAGACTCCCATTACAGGTGTGCCACGCCGCAACGAGCCGCTGGCAGCGTTCAGTATATGTTCCGCGGCAAACATTGCAGCATGTTCCCAAAACAAAGTCACCTGGTCTTTTGTGAGCCTTTCAACGGTGTGACACCGGGTGAGGGAGGTGTAATCGGCGTGCGAGAGAGTCATGGAGACAGACTCACGCAATGCAAGGCTGGCGGGGTGAATGCTTGGCACTGAAGCCGCAGCATTGGAAGTGATCGTCTGTTTCTCCTGCAGACCAAGTACATGACGGATCTCTGTCAACTCGGTGCATGCACACATGTACTCGCTCTTGTCTGGCACCTCGTGTCGGCAAAAAACACACGACGGCATTCTGTGGTGCATCACAAGGGAAAAGGGACTGACACGCGTGTTCTTGTTCGCCTCCTGTTTCTGTCCTAAAAGAGAATGGGGGGAGGGGGGTGCGCTGGGGAATAGCACCAAGAGCGGGCTGAAAAGAAAACGGCCACAGCAAAGCCGGGCCATGAAAAAAAAAAAAAAGTAAATGCGATCGACGTTAACCGCGCCGCCGCCGCCGCCGCCGAAGCGAAGCAGCAGGGCGTGCAAAGAGACCCAAAAGAGAAGAGAGGAGGCACATACACACACACAGATAACAATAATGATAATAGGGAGAATCGAGTTCATTTGTGTTTGATTAAAGTCGCTTAGACGCGGTTTCTTTCTTTCTTCGCTCATTTTCTTCAGCGAGGGGGAGCCCGTGCCTCCCCGCCCGTGCCGCCGCCCTCACGAGACGATCGAGACAATGTCGGAGAAGCGCAGTGGCTGCTGGTTGGAATCGCTCTCCGGGGCGTTGAAGATCGACTTGGCAAACGACACCGTCTCCGCGTCGCAGGAGAGAAGCAAAATGGCATCGCCAGCGATGCGGGCCGATTCGCTGAGCGTGGACGGCAGCTGGTCGGGGCTCACTCCGAGGTACGTCGCCATCTTCGCTACCGGCACCTTCTCGAGCGTGCTGGCCACCACCATCAAAATGCCGGCCCGCACCTGCGGCTCAAAGCTGGGCGCGGCGGCGAGGAGGCCCTTTGCCTCGCCCCACACCTCCCAGAACTGCACAAACCTGCCACAGCTCAGGTAGTTTTCCAGGTCGTAAATTAGGCCCAGTTCCTTCTCAATGTAGTGGGCGTCCTGCACGTGTCCCGGCACAAGAGAGATACACGCTGAAAAGTCGCTACATTGGAAGCGCGGGAGCGTCTGCAAAAGAACACCCAGAAGCAACTCCTTGTCCGGCTGCGTGCCTGCCATGACGTAACTTTTCAGGAAGCGCAGGAAGAGCGGAAGGTCATACCGGTCCTGCTGCAACGCCTCATCCACATCCCTGGCCAAATCCCGACTCATTCTTGTTTGCGTCAAGCGTTAGTGTGAAATACAAAAATGCTACCCCAATCGAGTTTGGTATGCGTAAAGGGGCAAGAAGAAGAAACAAAAAGACTTCACGTGGCACCCAAATAGGTGCAGTGGGTCGCAGAAGAGAGAGGTCAGTTGGGGGTGGATAGCAGCAAAGAGCATGAGGGCCATATACGTGTCGCTGGTGCCGCTCCGTGCCGCAAAGGGCATTTTGCGTCAAATGACGTTTTCTCCCGTGCAGGGCACTGAAATCACACAGCGACGGTGGGCAGGAAGGAATAGGCAACAAAAGCGGCAGCAGCCACAACAACACAATGGTCATGGAGCAAATAAAAAGTAATAATAAGCTAAAGCAACGAGTTGGAAATACCACCGACGCCCTCTTGGACAGCAGCAACCCGCCACGCAGTGCCATGGCAGGGCAATATAATTTGGCACAGGTAAACGCCTCTGCCGGATGTATTGTTGTTTAAGCCTGGAGGTGTCCAGCACAATGGCTCGTCCGCCGCGCCAACACGCCGGTGTCATTCACACCAATTAAGGGAAGTAAAAAAAAAGACCCGCGCTTTCTCTGGCAGTGCACACATGATGCTCCTCGGGAAAAAACCAACGCTGCCACAGACCACACACCAACGTTTACTGGATGCTCAAGCAAGCTGCGCAGGGCGGAGCTGCTGAAGGCTGTTACCGTTAGTGGGCCATCAGTCCATCAATACCTCTACTGCCCAGTGGCAAATGAGTCGTGTGCACACCCGCCTTGAGCCTGCCATATCGCCTGCATTTCCTTGGTTTCCTCGCACCCCTTGCGCCTGCTGTCTACCTTCCGTAGGAGAGGCCCACGGTCACACACAAGCAAACACACCCACGCACACACAAGTGTGGAGCGTCGTGCCAACAACCGTGAAGAACACGTATAATCAACAATAAACGAAAGCGAAAGAACACAAAATGCAGAGGAGCAACAGGAGTAGTCAAACTAAACTGGAAGGAAACACGTGTTCCCATGGGGCGTCAATCAATTTATCTATCAATCTGAGGAGTGGGTTTATCTTTAGTTGTGGCCGCACAGCGCCGCATGTTGTTGTTGTTGGTTTCTTCTGCATGTTTTCCCCTCTCATTTCATTACGACAATAAAATCAAAGCAAACAAAAATGAGGCGTGCGGTCACGCCTGAAACTCCGCAAGAAGTGGTGGCAGGCCTTTTCGAAATCGTGTCTTGAGCGTAAAGTCCCGCGCCAGCTGATAGCCGCGTGCTGGCTGAAGTGGCGGGATGTGAATAGTCGTGTCGAAGGGGTCGCCGGGCACCAGATCCCAGCGGTCAAAGCTGAAGAGCGGAAACGCCTCACCTTGGGTCGACATGCGCATTTGCGTCTCCAGGCCAAAGCTGTCCATTGCAGGCACCAGCGCCCGGACATACACAAGCGTTGTGGCAGCAATCGGCTCCTCCGACAAAATACTTCCCCGCCGCATCTGCAGAATCTCCAATAATTTCCCGACGCATTCGGGGGGGCACGTAATGTCCACGGCGAGCACGGGCTCAAGGAGACGTGGCTGCCCACCAAGTAGTGCCTGCTTCACCGTCGTCCGCGCAATGGAAATAACCGCCGCATCCTTCATCTCCGCCTCCACGTCAGCCAAGACGAGTCGCACCGCAGCGCCACGGACCACATCGCCAGTGAGTGGACCAGACGCCACAGCAGAGCGAAACCCAACGGTCATGGCCTGCAAACGCTGCTGCGTTAGCGGCGCAAACTGCTGCTGCTCCTCCTCAATTGTGTCGTTAATGAACAGACTTGGGCCCTTCGTCGTGTGGGGCCCCGCCGCAACAATATGTTGGGCGTCCAGGGCATCCATGTCGCATCGTCGCAGCGTCGTCCAGAGTTTGACAACACCACTACTCTCGCGGGGGAAGAGGTCGATCTGCTCGTACTCCACGAGATCGACCAGGTGGCGGTTCATGGAACCACTCGTGCAGCCAATCTGTGCCCGCTTGGAGCCGCTCACGGCCAGCACGCCATTCTGCTCCAGCACAGTCTCCGAAAAGGAGACAAACGGCTGTGATATTCCAAGTTTTACGCCCTTGCAGAGGCCACAGCGTAGTTCGTGCAGGGCGGTGTCAAGATGCAACTCCCCATACCCAGTGAGAGTGAACTCGCCTGTTTCTTCCTTGTGGGCATCAAGCCCGGGGGTTGTGCGTACAAGAATCTGCAGTCCACGCTGCAGCTGTGCACTCTTCGTAGGGTCCTTAAGCTCCACCCCAACGTGCACCATCGGTTCCCCGCACTTGAGAGGATACACCCGCACCTCATCAATCCATGCCCCGGACGCGGTGTCTCCCAAACCACCAGCGTCATCTTCCCGCAGCAGAGGAGCAGCGATGGCGCCCCCAACCAGCACAAGATGACTCCCAGGTCGTGTACCAAAACCAGTAAGAAGAACCACCTGACCCGCACGGGCACAATCGATGTCCACAAGCCCATTTAACATCTTCAGCAGCAGCTCCTTCACGACAAATGTATAGAACGGCTCAGCGTCGCTGGAGTGTTCATCCACCACGACTAATTGCATACCTCTCTTTAAAACACCATGTAGCACACGAACGACTGCAAAATTTTCTTCTCCGTTTTTTTGCGAACGCAGTAGCGGCGCAATGGCAATCACCGAATTTTCCACCTCACACGTGAGGCCATAGTGCACTCGAAGCCATTGCGAGCGTGCATCGGTTTGTGGCACCACATTGAGAAGCGCGTCAACGCCTTCTAACCCTGCGTCGCCGCAGAAGAGCTTGATGGCCTCTCGTGTCGCAGCGACAGGGTCCCGTGGGCGCGGGTGCAAACTGGTGCTAAGAACTTCGTGCCCCTTGCCTGTCAATGCGTGGGCAACAATTTTGTAAATCGGCTCAAGAACAAGCGTGACGAAGGCAGGTTTCTGAGTAAAGTTGGTGATCTTCACGAATCGGCCCTTCTCGAAAGCAACCTGTCCCCAGAGCTGCTGCGACAGCGCGGCTGGATCAACAGAAGGGTACTCGCGGCTATACTTCAGCGCGAAGGTCTCCGTCGTGAAGCAGAAGCCCAGCTTTGATGAGGTAAAAAGAACGGTGCCGTTCGTTGGGGAAACGAGGAGCGAAGAACCAAACCCAGCGATCTCGTTGTTGACGGCGTCCACCACCATCCGCAGCTTACGATAGGCGTCCAACGGCGGCAGCTTGAGGTCCATGATGAGGCGATCAACCTTCGTGATGACAAGAATAACCGGTAGATTCTCCTGCAGCACCGCCTGCCGCAAGAGCCTGACAGCGTTGCGTGTGACGGACTCAACGGCGTCAACGCAAAATATGGCGGCGTCTGCAAGGCGCAGGGCTGCCGCCATCTCCGCCGCGAAGTCGGGATGGCCGGGGGTGTCACAGAAGCTGACAAGGTGATACGCCTGCTGGTAGTGTGCTCCTGACACCATTTCCGTCACAACGCTGCTCTTCACAGAAATTTTTCGGTCCACCTCGTCTTCACGCTGGCGGTACGCACGACCCCCGAGCAGTGTGGTGAGCAGCGACGTCTTGCCATGGTGCAAGTGACCAATGATAGCCACGTTGCGTTGGCGTGAAGGGATGCCGCGCAAAAGATCTAAAAAGTCACGCTCAGACAACGGTGCCGCGTGAGCATCCTGAATAAGAAGCGGTGCCACACGCCGGTCCTCGACGAGAAACTTACCATGTGCCCCCTCCGCCCGGGGGCGGGAAACGACGTCTTTCGCTTCTACCAGAGGCTCAGCGATGGATTGATTTGCCGCCTCCCCAATAATGAGCTCAACGTCGTCACTAAAGTCACTGTTTGAATCGCTTCTTGCACCATCAGTTGACCCCCGACGATGCTGCTGCGGAAAGCCTTCGTCCTCCTCATCGCTACTGCCGCTCTCCGCCCGCTGCCAGGCATCGTCATCGCTTACGGAGACAGCCACCTTCTCGCTGCCGTCGTAGCCACTGCTGCTGCTGCTGTCGTCAGACTCCAGCCGGTTGCCGTGCTCATCGTACCCAAAATTCATGTGGTGAAACGCGCCTTCGCCGGTCCTATCGCTCTCCAAAGGTGTTTTTATTCTCTTTCCTCAGAATACAACAAAATTTGAGAACACAGAAGGCACCCACAAAAGCAAAAATAATAATAATAATAATAATAAAACAAATAAAGTTGCAGCCCCACGCACTGCCACCCGGGAGGCAGAACTCAAGTGAGGTGGCAAATAGAACGCGGACAGTGGTGTGCATCCACTCCAGCATCAAAAACAGAAGGGGAGCAAGTGTATGCCCCACAAACGCTAATCTCCATCACCACCAGTAGCTCATCACTCTTCGTAACGCAATGCCCCGTTGGGGCTATGAAGTGAGGGCGGTAGCACCTTCCTTGGGCGCCTCATGAAAGGTGACAAGAACACGCTGCTCCAGAGACATCCGGTGCTCCTGGCGCTCCAACGCGGAGCTAATTTGCTCCTTTTGAATCCTCCACGGCTGCTCCGGCGAATCCGCCTCTAGTCGCATTGCCATGGTGGGCGCCATGGCACTAATTTCAGGCTGCCGTGACTCCAGCGGCCTCACACTCGTTGGCACCACTATAATAAACAAAAAGCCAAAAAAAAAGAGATAGAGGGAAAGAAAGTATTATGTCTCGGGAGTAAAGTTTTACTCCGTGCGGCGCACCTCCCAGTCGAGGCATGAGACAAGGCCGAGGCAATTTATGTACAGCGTGCGGGAAACTCGATCGTCCTCCAGTACCTGCAGGTCCTTGTGAGCTTGGTTAACCAGCTCACGCTGCGCTGAAGGACTTGTGATGCCTCAATTCCGCCTAAAACCGGAACAAATCTGCTGCAAAAGAAGCATGCGGATTGTAACGCTTGGAATGCGGTTGGCGGGCTTCAAGTAGCGCCGGTCCAACATTATCACTGCCTCCGCAGTCAGCAGGGCGGACATGCTCGTTGTGACTTCTCTACCGTCGAAGCGCGAAGCTTTCCTCACCGCCCCGTACCCTTTTTCCTCCCGCAACGAGCAGCGATGCGCAGTGGTACGGTGGGATAAAAAGTAAAGAAAGGACAAAAAAAAAGTGTGTGGAAAAACGTGGGGCCAATACGATGCCGAAGGAAGATATGCGTTCGAAAGTCAAAAGGTAGCGCAGGCCTCAAAAAAGCGAACCTCGTACAATGAGAAAGTTCCTTTCAAAAGGCAAAAAAAGAAAACAAAAATACACTAAAAAAGACGCATAAGGTGGTGAGGCATATTTTCGTTGCCCAGCTCTTTAGCTTCACATTCCGCCGCGTGTTGTGGCGCCCGCCTTGCCAGGTGCCACCCATCGCTTCAGAGGCATGGAGTGCTGCCTTCGAGCATACTGTTTTTCTTGAGCCGACAATGTGGCCACAGCGCAACCAAAGGGGTCTTCACCACCGTGGCCAACGTCAAACTTTGACTGCCGCTCCAACGGCACTCGGGAGGAGGTGTGCGGGGAGCCCCTCGTTGTGGAAGCCATCGACGCATGTCCTCGAGAGACGGGAGCGGGTGGCCTCCTTTCACTGCAAGGCATTACTCCCGGCGAGGCACCTCTGTCCTTGACTGGTGTTGCCGCCGTCCCCCAACCCGGCCGCAGAGTATGGCCCTCGGACGACGAGGTGGTATCACAAACGCGATTCTGCGCTCGACGAAGGGCATGTTGCAGCAATGCCTCCCGCTCGCCTTGCACTGGCGACACTGATGCCGGCCTGGCGACGTCTTCGGCCACCGTGTCCACCGCCGCGCTAAGGGCGCCCTCGACGTCGTTAAACAGCAGAAGGCACGCCTCCAGGATGGCGGCGTCCGCCTTTCTCAAGGCAACAGATCCCAACAAACACTGCTGAATCTTCCGCAACGCCACACCCTGCTTTGCCGCCACCTGGTTAAGAAGCTGCGTCAACTGTCTCTGCCGCTGCGTCAGCCGCAAGGAAAGATCAGCCGTATGATCAATAACGCTGCACAGCTCGCGCGCTAGCTGCACGACGCATTGTCCCTCCTCGTCCACCACCACCGTCCCACGGGCCGCACGCTTCAACTCTGCCACCACAACATCACGCAGACAAAGCACTGACTCTTCCAATCCCACTGAAATCCTCATCAGCTTCGCACCATGTGAATATACCACATTAGCTACCCCCGACCTTGCCTCCGCAAGCTGCTGCAGCAGACTATTAGCCTTAACCGCTTTCTCACGTGAAAGCTCCTTAGCACTCCCCAATTCCTGCTCTAGCGCAAGACAGCGGGAGCGCAGCACAGACAACTCTCCCAACAACGAGCGCCTCTCCTCACGATATCCCGCTTCAGACACTGTATAAGCATCTTTCATTTCCTCACTTTTCACGCGCAAGTCCCCATTCTTCTCCTCCAACCCACGTACCGTATTCCTAAGCGTATCAATTTCCTTTTTTGCCTCATCAAAAGATGACATCACTTTAGACAACATTCTCTCCAAAACACCACGATCCCTAGCAAAACCAACCTCTACCTTCTCAACCTCATCGCGACATTGCTGTACAGCATCCTCTGCGCCATGCTCGGCCTCCTCCGCGCGCCGCCGCTCACGCTCCAGTGCTGCGCGAAGGCCATCCACCTCCGCGGCGTGGTCCGCCCTCTGCTGCTCCAGGGCGGTCTCAAGGGTGCCAGCTGCTCGTAGTGCCGCTGCTCCGCGGAGTCAGACGCACTCCGTGCGCCATGCTCGGCCTCCTCCGCGCGCCGCCGCTCACGCTCCAGTGCTGCGCGAAGGCCATCCACCTCCGCGGCGTGGTCCGCCCTCTGCTGCTCCAGAGCGGTCTCAAGGGTAGCCAGCTGCTCGTAGTGCCGCTGCTCCGCGGAGTCAGACGCAC